TATTCAAAAATCATCACCAATAATGTCAATAATATGAATTAAAGGAGAATGAAATCTTGTTGGTCAATGAAATCACTTGGGGAGTGGTACCTTTTCACCTGAAAACTATGAATATTTACCCAGGAAATAGTAGGTATAATCTTAATTATTTGTATTACAAGCCTGAATGTCATAATATCATCAATGTTATTTTAAAGACATTCAGAAGCCCACACAGAATAGAACGATAATATTTCTTGGCTCTTAGTCACATTCAGTGCATAGTTCCCCACAAAGTTTTAAATTTTGCTGAGGTTCTGAAAGAATTAAAGAGCAGGTCTATCACAATATTTTACATATCATCAGTGGATGCATTGCAGTTTCTTGCATCTCAAAATTTCTCAAGCCAGAACCTCTACAAGCTAGTTGCTCTTGCCTTAATGCTTCAACATTTTACCAGGGAAGACTTTTTGGATAAAAATGTGAAATTCTTTCTGAGACCCAGAATAATTTATTGTAACTAGATAAGATCTTTAAGAAAAAATTAATAATCCTTCATAATCAAAGCCAGTGTGATTCTTTCATAATGGAACTTTCATTCTGAGTTATTGAAATACAAATGCAAATGCATAACACTCATTAAGGCTTTCTAAGATCAACCAGATCTGTCACCATACTACCCATATGTCAGAAGAGAAACTAAATCAAACCTTCACTGATTAAAGTTTGCATACCTGATACATCCAATGCATGGCTTATTTTATCTGTAATTGAGTTAGACCCTTACTGCTTATATCCAGACAGATTCATGCATTCACATTGAGTTGTGCTGCTTCAGTAAAGCTCTCCAGAAGTGTTGCAAAGCTGCAAAATAGAAGATTTATATTTTTCTTCAATGATTTGGGTTGGCAGTTCCCTGTGTGAAATGCTCATTACCACACAACACAGCTAATCTAGGATTTCTGACAGAAAACACTAGAAAGGTAAGCATGAAGATGAAAGTATTTTCAAACCCACACAGGGGAAGGGACTGACTTAATTTTTAAAACTATATATGAGCTATAAGTGAATATGAAAATTGGTCCTGAACTTCTTCTGATATTTAAATAGATAGTTTAATACTGAATGGTTTTATTCCTGTCACTAAAAATACAAGCTTAATATTTATCCCTTGCATTGGTAAACAGGAGAGTATAAAAGAACAGGGAACCAATCCTTCTCCTTCATTGTTTTAAAAGGAATTTTGAATAAATAGAATTCCTATTTATTGGACATGGGGAGAAACAGCAAAAAAGGACGGAGAAAACACAGAGAAAATATCTTCTTTGCCTCACTTTTCAATGGTAGGACCAACTGGGTTTTGAGTACTAGGCCCCTTAAGCTGGAAGACAGGTACAGGGAGCAATTTAAGTCCCATAATCCGAGACTACATAGTCAGTGACCTCCTACACAGATACACAGAGATCTATGGGGCCAGATGGGATCCTCTCATGGGTACTGAGGGAATTGGTGGAAGTTCTCACTGAGCCCTTTCCCATCATTTATCACCAGTCCTGGTTAAATGGAGAGCTCCAGGTGATCAGAGGTTGGCAAACATGACTGCCATCTACAAGAAGGGCAGGAAGGAGAATCAAGAGAACTACAAGCCTGTCAGCCTGACCCTGGTACTGCAGCAAGGCTTTGGAGAGGTCATCTGGAGTGCCATCACATGACACATGCAGCACATCCAGGGGATCAGGCCCAGCCAGATGAGTTTATGACAGGCAAGTCCTGCTTGGCTAACATTATCTCCCTCTGTGACAGGCTGGCCAACTGAGTTTATGAGGAAGAGGCTGTGAATATTGTCTGCCTGGACATTTGTCAAGCTTCCAAAAATGTTTCCACAGCATTTTCCTGGAGAAACTGCCTGCTCATGGCTTGGACAAATGCCATTTTCATTTGGTTAAAAACTGGATGGATGGCTGGGAGCAGAGTGGTAAATGCAAATAGATCTAGTTGGTGGCAATTTACCAGTGGTGTCCTCCAAGGTTCCATTTTGGGGACAGCTATGTTTAATGTCTTTGCTGATGAACTGGATGAGGGGATCAAGTACACCCTCAGTCAGTTTGCAGGTGACACCAAGCTGAGTGGGAGTGTTGATCTGCTGGAGGGCAGGAAGGCTCTGCAGAGGATCTGGACAGGCTGCATCGATGGGCTGAGGCCAATGCTGTGAGGTTCAACAAGGCCAAGTGCCAGGTCCTGCCCTTGGGTCACAACAGCCCCAGGCAGCACCACAGGCTGGGACAGAGTGGCTGGAAAGGACCTGGGGGTGCTGGTGACAGCAGCTGAACATGAGCCAGGGTGTGCCCAGGTGGCCAAGAAGGCCAATGGCATCCTGGCCTGGATCAGCAATGGTGTGGCAGCAGGACCAGGGCAGGGATTGTCCCCCTGTGCTGGGCACTGGTGAGGCCACACCTCGAGTGCTGTGTCCAGCTCTGGCCCTCACTGCAGGAAAGACACTGAGGAGCTGGAGTGAGCCCAGAGAAGGGCAATGGAGCTGGGGAAGGGTCTGGAACACAAGTCCTGTGAGTGAGCAGGAAATGTGGGGGGTGTTAATACAGGAGAAAGGGAATATCAAGAGAGAACTTTTAATTCTCTAGAACTAGCTGAAAAGAGGTTGCAATGAGGTGGGGTTTCAGTCTCTTCTCTCAGAAAACCAGTTGTGCCAGAGGGAGATTGTGGCAGGATGGTGGAGGAAATTTTTTCATGGAAATTTTAACAGGCTACCCAAGGAGTGGTTGAGTCACCATTCCTAGAGGTAGAAGATATGTAAATGTGGCACTTCAGGATGTGGTTTGATGTTGAACTTAGCAGTGTTAGGTCAATAGCTGGATTCGATTACTTTAGAGGTCTTTTCCAATCTAAATGATTCTGTGATTATATGAATGTACCACTTGGCCCTCTAGTCCTTTATCAGCCTATAGTAATATTTTTCTGCAGCAGTTTCCTGGGTTGAGTCTAGTCTCAAGACTGTTTTCTTCTACTTCCATTACCTGGTAGCAGTAGATGAAGCATAACCTAACTTCTGAAGCACCCCAATATTCGGCTAAGAAGTGGCACAATGACATGGAATTTAAAAACAAACAAAAAAGATTTGAGACTCAGTCACATGCTTTTGACATCTGCATTTCTCAGCTTGGTTCAAATAGCAAAAAAACACAAGACCTGCATCCTTACATTTTACAGATTAATATTTATAAAGCATTAGGCACACAATATTTACTTACAATTCACAATAAATAGAGGAAAGCTATATGCTGAAAATAAATTCAAGCACAAGGACTTAAGTAATCAAGTGTTTTAAATCACTCTGATTAATCACTAGAATATTTTAAAGGATCTGGTTTCAGCATATTTTGCAGAGAAAATGCCTTTTACTCAAACTAACTTCTCTCTTTCTCTCTGGTCCATGTGTAATTCATGAACCTTTAAACATTATGGAATTATAGAGAGCTAAGCTGACATTTTTACTTTCACTTAGCAGTCTGAATAATTGGTACACTCCAAGCATTTTAAATACTAAAGTAATCATTGCTTTGAATTCATCTTGTGATGTCATAGCAGCTTATGATTGACATAATAAATTTCAAGAATATGGAAGCTTGAAAAGAATGTTAAATATATCTTATGCTTAATACACAACAATTAAATGATCTATAACTAGCAGTATATTCTGATGTTAACTTTAATGAAATGCTTTTTAAATGTATAATGTATTGTTATTGGCTTTCCATTCCAGGGCAAGAAGAGAATTCATAAAATTTTTTCAGTGTGTTTTTCTCAGAATCAGAAAGAAATGTATAGGGAAAATGTTAAATTTACTTAATATCTTGAATATATTGGAAGTTCAGTGATGAAAATTTTAAATTTTCTTTAAGTGTTGGAAACTGCCAGAAGTCGCCCTGGAAGCCAGTCACAATCAAGTAACAAACAACTGCAGTATGTGTTAGCTACAATTTAACATGAAAACTCAGCTGGCAATTCTTACCTAGGAGACGTTGGAGTGGAGAACATTTAGCTCCCCAACAATCAGCACATGATGCAGATCTTGGTCCCACAGTTCAGCAAAGTACACAAGGCCATGCCTTGAAGGAGTAGACCAGATCTGTCACAAGCTCCAAAATTTCTGGAATAAACACCCACAATTTAGAGTATTACAACTGCTTCTCTCCTAAGGGAGACTTCCTCTGGTTAATGGAATTTGAATGTATTTAGTATCTATGTTCTATAGATGTTGAATAGAAGACATCCATCAAAACAGAAGATTAAAAGTTGGGCATTGTTTTTGGTTCTTTCTAAATTAGCTCTGAAATGTTGCTGCCAGTTGAATAGACATGAGCAAAACAGGAATTAAGGACAAAGGGAATTTTAGCTGAGAGTTAACTTTTTCTGTATTAGCTTGTACAGAGCTATGTTTTTGTGGTGTTGGTGTTGGAATGTGTTGAACATATTGGGGTGACATTGTTATTGCTAAGCAGCTCTTAGACAGAGTCAAGGCCACCTGTTCCTCACCCCCTCCCACCACTGAGTAGGATGGGGAAGAATCAGAACCTGGCAGGGGACACAGGGAGGATAGCTGACCCTAGCTGGCCACAGGGACATGATGTACCATGCGATGTCATGCTTGGTACAGAAAGATGAAGGAAGGAGGAGAAAGGGTGGGACAGTCAGGGGAGCTACTGCTACACATGATGAATCCCTACTGTCCTGAGCATGGCTGACACCTCCCTGCCCATGGGAACCAGTAAGTCCCTTGTTTTGCTCTGCGTGTGTTCACAGCTTTTGCTTCCCTATTAAATTGTCCATATCTCAACCTATGAGTTCTCTCAGGTTTGCTCTTCTGATTCTCTTCCCCATCTTCTGTGGGAGCATGAATGAGTGGCTGTGTGTTGTCAGCTTGAATTAAACCATGACAGCAGACATCATGCTGCCCTTCATAGATACCAAGAGAGTTATTGAATATCACCACATTGAGATAGGAGGAAAGAAGTCCCATTGTCCTTCTGAAAAAACTTTAATTATTTTAGGAAAAAGAAAATAGCTTAAAAAAGAAAGATTAACAGAGGTTGTTTTTCCCAGGCACAAATTACATAGAGATAGTATTTGTATGCAAAAATAGTGATTAAGACACTTCTTCCTTTGGACTGATTCCCATCTGCTGTTGCCAGTCAGTGTTCTCTCCTGGTCATTGAGATGATTTTCTCTCCTGGTCAGAAAGAGCAAGAGGGAGAGGTTTCATTTAGTGTGGAATTTTTTTGAAAGAAAGGCAGAAATTAAGATGGACCACTTTGTATCACTAGAAGAAGGTCTGCAGCTCATAAAGCCTCTGAAGTTTCTCTTTCACCTCCAAATTCAAGTACATTCTTGCTCTTCCTATTGACAGTTCATTTCTCCTCTCTGGCTTTTGTGGGTTTATATACTAGGCTGGAGTTCTACATGGTTACAAAGAATGTTAAAATGTAGTGGTAAAATATTTAGGATTACAATGTCAAAAACCTTGTCAAAAATGGAATGCAACTAAGAGATCACTGACAATGCATAAACAGCATAAGCAGAAGTTGATCAGATCTGATAACTGTTCAAAGATAAACCTTACAGAAAATAGAACATGAATAGTATGAAATTCTGGTTTATATTACAGTAATACAAAAATTCTATTTATATTACAGTAGCACAAAACATTCACAAGGAAGACTGACACATTCTTGCTTTGAATACACTACAGTCACTCACCACAAAAAGGATCTTCTTGGAAAATAACTTGCTCTAACTCAAAGAAAATATCATTTTTTTATTAATTTATAATATATGTAAGGATAAAAAAAAATCAATTAGTTAAGATTTTGAAGCTGTATCACAGCTTCACATTGTTGATTGTCTTCAGCTTGGTAATGGATTACACAGAAAACAGATCTGGGAAATACATACAACCACACAACTGCCAAGCAATGATCATGATACAAGCATGATTATGCTGCAGTTCCAAGTATATCATGACAGTGACAAAAATTCCCATGATAGCAGTCTATAAACAAGACAAATTCTCCACTGCAGAGGAAGAGGATTTACATTTTCTAGAATGAGTGAACAAAGATTTCCATATGGATAATTACCACAAGGCTGACTGGAGTTTATGCAAAATAAATCACTCAAAAATGCCTGTCACCTGGCATGATGAAAGGCAATATGAAAAACGAATTAGTCATAAATGTAATTTTATCACAGCATCTAAGAACAAAAATACTAAATTATTTTAGTGTGCAATTGTTTTCTTGGTTGTTTTAATTGCTAAGGAATTCAGAGATCTGCAAGATGGCTTCGGCAGAAGGAAAAGTGTGGTATTTCATTAACTGCAACAGCAAATTAAAGTGTTGTTCCACAAGATTCACTTATAACTAAAATGCTTATATTTATTGCCATCAATATATTTTTTCTTCCTATAAGTGGAGAAACAATTAAAAAATTTACTGAAGGGACATATTTATCTCCTGTCATTGCTGATGCTTAAAACTCTAGAAAACCAAAAATATTGATGTAAATCCTTTGCTACGAGAGAGAAAAAAAAGGACAAATTATTATATTTTCTTTTTTTCATTATTTTAAAAACATGAAATGAAATTTAAAATAATTTCAAATGCAAAATGTATATTAAAATTTAAAAGTTCAAGTTTTCATTCACAAATTATGGCGTCAATGCTACCAGGTAGATTTTTTAAAAAGTTAATGGATAATGAAAATTATATCCTTTTAATTCTTCAGTTATCTCATTCTTTCTATTTAAAATATTTTATTTATTTTAATTTCAATTTCTTTTCTTCCCATCTGTCATAGTAGTTTCAAAATCTTAGATGATATATCTTTAAGTCCACTTTAAATAAATTAAAATTCTGAGATGCAGAACCCCAAATTTATTGATATATATACCTTTCAATTAAAACAGAAACAGAGGAACAAACTTCAAAATATTTTCCAACACACAAAAAATTACTTTAATATTTTATCTGGATAGTGGCCTGTTGAAATAGCTTAGTACCCTAAGGGTGAGTGCTAAGGCACTTCTCACAGATGAATATGGCATTTCTCTTAGTAAAAAGGTTTTTTTTTTATGACACAGTCTTAAAATTAGAATAGTCTGATCTGGTGTGTGATTAAATTTATAACATAATGCATTTTGCTGAAGGGTAAATTATTGATGACACTATCCTTAGTCATAAATGTAAATCTACTCCAAAAAATACATCACAGCAAAGCTGAAAAAGGGAATGAAATTTCAGTTTTATTTATTACCTCTCATATACTTTCGAATTATTTTCCATCAAAAAATTACTGAAGGCCAATACTGCTGCTTCATCTAAAAGAATCCAGACTTTCCAGAAAACAGTAACATTATGAAGGTTTGAAACATGACAAAAACCTGGATGAAGACTGAGGAATTTTAAGATGAATGTAACATATTGTTAAAGTCCATGAAAGAAAGGTATGACCTTTCTTCCACCAAAGATTATGATGTGAATATGTGTTATGATGCCTTGTCATGCCGTAGTTCTAGAGGCGCTCTAAAACTTACAGAGTATGTTATGCACACTTTAGATTCATCTATATAATTAAAGTAGCTATTTTCCTTTAGCAGATATATTCAGATAGGTCAGAGAAACCTACCAGATACCAAATTGATTGTGAATTCCCAAACAAATTTAATTCTAATTTAAAATGCAAATAATAACATTAACTCCTTTCTGGGAAAAAAAAAAAAAAAAAAAAAAAAAAAAAAACAAAAAAAAAAAAAAAAAAAAAAAAAAAAAAAAAAACCAAAAAAAAAACAACACACCCTTAATTACATAGAATCTACTCAGTGCTGTGGTATGTCACAGCTGGATTGTACATTCAAAGATGGTAGAAATGTACTTTTGGGGTTGAAATACATGAAGTTTTGTTATCATGCCCTTTAAAGTATTGTGGCTGTATCATCCTTTTGATGAAAGAACAATATATACTTGACATTTTTTGACATTTTTGTATCTCCTATTCACAGTGTGCTTGAAAAATAATACAAAAATAATTAAAAATTATTCGATTTTATAAACAAGGTAATTAATTGCTTTGTCTTTTGAAGTCAGCATGAGCAGCTATCTTGCCTACTGCTCTATGAGCAGTTTATCTATTTTTTGCTGCCTTTTGTGCAAAATTAGATGGCCAAGTAGCAACCTTACTCCAGTATGAGTTATTTGCAGTGTTGCTGCAAAATAACAAAACCTTGCAACAAAGCAATACAAACACAGCATGAGATTTTATGAGTGCTGAATCTTGATGGAGGAAGATAAACAAGTCGTGAAAAATGTCCCAAAGGACTGAATGTTTTTCAGTGTTTTTTTTTCCCAAATGTGGAATGAAATCCTAAAGCATTTGTTTCTAAAATCTCTGCTATAAACTCTCCCTTCCCTATAATCTCGTCGGCTCTGGGGCAACAGAATCTCTAAGGTCAACCTTTCTGCTAACTACAATGCTTATATTTCTCCTCTGTTTCTTGGCAGTAGAAAGGAATGGATGATTTATTTTTAGTGAGTTGCTCAACCCAGCACAAGGAACTCAGTAAGTGACTTTTTTTTTTTTTTAAACTGTCAGAATTGCCAGCAATAGCACTGCTTGCAGTAGTATTAACTGCATCCATAAACCCCAGCACCACTTCTCTTGGCTCAGCTACAGTCGTATGCTCTTCAAATTTCTTTCTGATATTTCAGGCTCTTTTCCACAACATGATGAGTAATGCGTTGAGATAAACTGGCATGTGTTATGAGACCAGCACAACATGCATGGGTGAATTAGTTGCATTATCACTATAAATGACAAAAAAGTTTTCTGACCCATAACATGTGTTTGGGTGAGAGGAGAAAGATGCAAGAGAATGACGTGATAGTGCTACTCCATCTTAAAACAGATGTTTCTTTTAATAAAACAAGAATAGTAACCACAAAAACAAAAAATTGTTTAGAGTTCACTATTTTTTCCTTAAAAAAAAAAAAAGTTTATTTGGGAAATTAAAATATTTTAAAGAAGTCTCCCCTCTGTTCCCAGGCTGATCAATTTAAATTTTCACTCTACCTTAAGTGGAATTTATTTCCTTTAATTTGCCCAGCATTGACTAAGAATTGATGCTACAGTAGTCATATCAGAAGTCTCTCTTTCCACAAATAAACCTTCAAACACAAAATAAAATCTGTAAAATCAAAAACAATATTAAAGCAGAACACAGAGAATTATGTGCTGTTTGCTTTAAGCAATGTTATGAAGGGATCCTGTTAAAAAGTTCTGTGAGCATAGAGATGATTTTTAACACTCAGTTGTCTAAAATAGTAGTCCATAAAAAGGAAATAGAAAGTAAGCTTTGTTGTCTATGGAAATCACTCTTTAAAAGGTTCTTTCAATTACAATATATCGAAGCATGTCTGCAAATGCTGACTGCAGTACTAAGTTCATTTTACAACCAAGACATGGAAGTGTAGATCCCAGGCAGATGAGAATGGCAATAGCACTTGTTAAATCATCAGGAAGGCACCTTTGTGCTCTCTTTCTTTCTGTCTTGCACATTTCAGGAAGTTATACACAAACAGTTTGTTTCATTATCATTACTCCAACCTCCTCAAAACAGCCTTTCTCTACATTCCCTTAACCGGTCATGATGGAAATCAAGCTCCTGTTCCCCGGGGCTGCTCTGGCTGTGGGGCAGCTGGCTGCAGGAGATGCCACAGTGCAGGGTCACAGCAACTTCCCTCTGCATGTGGGGTGGGTCACAGCCCACAGGAGCCTCTCCATCTAGAAGGAGTAGCTGGGCTTGGATGGAAATGTAGCTGCTTGAGAGAGATGTGCAACACCCAGTTTCCCTGCCCTCCCTCTCCTCCTCTGCTCTGCCCTTGTGCCACCCTTAGTTTCCTACTTTAGCAAAGAGTCACTTGGGATGGGCTCTTCTCATCAGGGTCCTGCATGCTTATACCTCAGCAGCTGCTCTTCTGCACTCTGGTAATGCTGAGCACACAAGCAGAGGTGTCCTCTTGGCTCTGCTACTGTGACAGGACACGACGTCTCTGAAAGCAGCAGCCTGTGCTCAGTGGGACCCCACTGATCCCCTGACCCCTCCAGTGCTGGGAGTCCCACTTGTCACACTGGTGGAGCCACAGCTGTGTACCGAGGCAGGCAGGGGCTGTGCAAAAAGTGAGGTACTGTGAAAGGTGAGGAAGGTGATGTTTCACTGGGGGCACAGTTTCCAGCAAGCAGTTCTTGGAGCTGCTTCTTATTGGCAGAGGATTGCTGAGTCCACGTGGGATTCCTGACATTTCCTCATTTCCTCCCACCAGGTCTGAGGTTCATGTAAATAAATAAACTGTAAATGACAAGGAGAAAGGCCAGGAGAGGGTTCCAGCTGTCATCATGCAAATCCAGAATGCTTTTGACTGCAGCTATATTCCATTTATATTAACAAATTAAAACACAAAGTCACATTTGTGCGAAAAATACTAAAGAGCTGTTCTGTCAGAAAATTATTCACAAAACCATCATTGTTTATGTTATATTCTTTCTTTACATATTTACAGTATGATCTCAACAAAGTGATTCCTGTGGAAGTTAAAAAGAGAATTTTTCAATTATTTTTATGGCACCAATGAAAGGTAAAAAGGAAGGTACATACCTGTCATCCAGGTATAACTCCATTACCTCCCTGTCTCATTGTACAGCAAGGCAATCTATCCACACATTAATTATTTACATTCAAAGACTTCATCATGTTTATTACAAATGCTTTGTAATAAAGTAGGATGAAAAATGTTATTTATAATTTGGAATCACAATAACTTGCCTATCTCCACTATTACTGACACAAGGAGTGCAAACAAACTTCAGCTGGTAGATCAAAATGCCAGACAAGGTCTGATTCTGACACAGCAAGCTATTCAGCTTCAACCCTCTGTTCAGTAAAATAACTTTCTGGTTACCTGGACAGTTAAACTCGGTAATACATATGAAGCAAATTTAGGTTATTAATTTTGATATTCAGTTCAGTTCAATATCCCCATATAGTCATATTGTTTAAATGTGTGCTGTGCTACTACATCAAAGAATTTTAAAATTACACTTTTTGCATCCAAAAAGATACTTTTTTGGGAAATACTTCCTTTTCTGGGTATTCCTGTTGGAAACATAACCCATGAAACAGGAGCTTTGTATCTAAACTGCTGTTGTCAGACTTCAGAGTCAATACCCACAAGTAAATAGTGGAGACTTAATTAATCCAGTTCACATCACAGAACTTCTGCTTTCAGCTTTCAGGTCTCAAATGCAGGTTTTTCATGACTGAACCATTCCTGTGGGTTCCCATGTGGACAAGAGTTCACCCTCTGTTTTTGTTTCAGGCATGGTGATAAGCAACAGACAGTTTAGGTAACCTGCCATTTGCAGTCTTGATCTAAGTGGACCCCAATTCTTCCGTTGGAGCTTTAATGCCTATTTACATTAAGGTAGTTTTTGTTAAAAAATAATATCTTGTGTAGGGAAAACATGTTTAATGTTTACTGCATTTATTACATAGTAACTATTCTCCTTAGAAAATATTTACCTCAATCTGAAAGCCCTCCTTATTTTAAAATAACACTAAGCTAGTTTACATAGAGGCTTTACAATCACATTATTTTTCAATAACTTATTTTCATTGATTGGTCTAACAGTTTGACATGTTATTTATGGGCTACTGTGATGAATCACATCCGTTTCCAAGGTAAAGTAAGCAAATTCTCTGTTTATAGGATTAAAGTTGAAGGTCAAACTTTGATTATATTTTCTGTTCTACTACAGCAATATAAAGCAAGGCCTTTAGACTTCAGAATTGGCAACCAGTCATATGAGATGCTTTTATACTTAAAAATTGACCACAAATTTTGATTAAATCATAATTAACATCTGAGAGGCAGGAAACCTAGCAGATAACTGCAATAGACTCTGAGATTAATTTATTTTGTGTTTTGAATATGCATTTTATTTTTTTTTACCTTGCAAAGAGGATTTATTTATTTTAATATTTTTTTAAGAAAAGAGTTTTTATCTACTGAAGTATGAGAGCTGGGAAAATACTAACCTTCAATACTTATGGTGTCTTGTGGTATTTATCTAACTCACTGGCCCACTGCTGTTGAAATTCTACCAGTGTATATTTATCAGTTGCCTATTGGCAGGAGCAAGTGAAATTTGCTTTTTCCAGGAATGTAATGTATAAACAACATTTAAGCCCCCCTTTTTAGCAACACATTTTTAAAGTCTCATTTGGGGTCTCAGAGCTTCTGAAGCACTGGCAACCTTAAATTGTAAAGGATGCTGTAGTGCAATGCAATAATTAATTACCCAGATACCCTCCATTCAAGCCAAAAGCAATGCCCAGTACACTCATGCATCCAAAGGGAGTGGGCATATATGATGGAAACCCTTGTATTAAAAGATAAACATATGCAGATGAGAATCCCATCCAAAATATCCCTATCAAATTATTTCAAAAAGGAACATGAAAGGGAAGCTTAGTTTCAGTGAGGTGTGGAAAGGTTTCTTTGAAGGCTTCTTGTAATACAGCATGAGTATTTTTGCATTTAGATTAGAGGTACTGACCTTGCTTCATCGCCCAGCTTTATAAACCTGTCTCTACACTACATCTTTTTTTGTCTTGCAAGGACTTATGTCAAATCATTTGTTGTCACGGACATTGCTGTGCCAAGACTCTGCAATCCTGGCTTGTGACTGCAGCTGTTATTTTAGGTCAGGATTGTGGAATATTTTTGGTACATGCAGTGGAAACAGACATTACTCTCCCTTCAAACTAAACTCTTCTTCAGAGAGGTCTGAACCATAAAGATTACTATACAGGGAGGCTTTGATAGGGCAGACTCTGTCCTTTTTAAGCAAGGGAAGAAGAATCCACTCACACAGGGACATCCCCATCCACAGGACTTTCTGGTGCTAGGTCTGTCTAGGGACCTAAAAGTGAAGTGGTAGAGCTTAGCTTCCTAAGCTCTAAAGAGCTTAGAATAGATTTGTACAGAAAAACAAAAAACATAAACCATGCTGTGGCACCATGAGGAAGGAGGTTGTGTGAAAATTGCTGTATGTTACTGTTACAGGCATAAATTAGAAATCTCTCTACTTCTTTGGGAGCCCATGTTGGCCCTTTTTAGCTCCTCTGGCACATTTGGTTCGAAAGGATTGAATTGACAAAGTAGACTGAGCTACCTCCTGGGTGTTGTAGCTTTAACTGTATGGATTGAGGTATGGACAAGGACAAGCTGAAAGCATACTAGAGAAGTCTGTCAGAGCTGACTGCCTTCAGGATGCCAAGACTGGATGCAGAGCTCTCTCAGAGTCCCAGAGAGCTGATCAGTGACACAGTTTTTTTATTGTTTTGGAGATTCAAAATGTGCCTTTGAGAACAGGCTTAGTCCTGAGCAAAAGAAGATGCATAAACACTCCAACCCAGCAAAAGCTTCAGGAAGCACAAACTCTGGAACAGTTTAGCTCAGAGACATAATTTGTGCTATAGCCCATACCCACAAATTGCTACATACCCTCATGCCATTTCACTTGGTGAAATGGCAGTTTCGTAAAAAAGACAGAATGAAGGTTATACCTGTTTCCTTCTCTGATTACTTGCAAGCTTAGAAAGGGGAAAATTTAAACCCCATATTGAAGCCAAAATTGAGAGTTTTGATAAGAGGGCAGCTGAACACCACACAACTCCTAAAAACCACCCTGTGGATGCCTCCTACCATCAACCATGCACTAGTTTAGCAAAGCTTGATCCAAAGTTTATGCAGCTGGAACAAAATTAAAAGTGGACCCCTTCTCCTTTCTGTTCTCAGGAAAAGATATGGGTGTCACACACAGTCTTGTCCTTACTGAAGAAAAATTTGCCTTCTCTTCAGCAGTTCAGTCTTAATCTCTGAGTTTCTGCACCTACACCAATTAAATGATTCCATCTTTAGCACTAAAGAATATGTCTTGTAAAATAGGTCTTCAGCTTTGAAGTTTAGTGCAATTAAACTAAAATACTGCTAATTAGGAATGCAGTGAATCAATTATTACACAAATGCATTCTGATAATAATTTAAGACTACTCTCATGAGCAAGAATTTTCAGGATTGGACTCCATACTCATTAAGGAAGAGCCTGGTTTTACTGCTAATTTGCAAACACCAGATGGATTGCAACAGGGTCCTTACACAGCATAAAGCTGAGCAAATACATAATTCCTTACAGGATCAGAATCTTCCCAAAACAACGCTTGTACTTCACTGTTTTCCACTAACAAGGATTAAGCTGTGCAGTTTTCTTGTGTGCGGTGACTTTTGACAACAATAAAATGTTCCCTTTTGCCATATGACACAGCCAGGTCCAGATGTGCTATTTTGGTTTGAGATGGTTAAAATTTTTTGTTACTATGGAGATTATCTTCTGAATGGTTTACTTACCGCCTCAAGGCTGTCATCGCATTCTGTTTAATTTATAGAGCTGGTCCAAATCTCTGTGGAAAAAAAAGTCACCAATATTTCTCACAACTTTCTTTGATTTATTTTTCAGTGTCAACCGAGACATAACATTTATTATGATTCACCTTAGCATGATGACATTTCATTATTCTTACTGAAGAAGATGTTCCTGAAAAAAGGAGATCAAAATCTCCTTAGTCTCCTGGATATCACATAATAAATGAGGGGATCTGTTTTACTTCAGTGTCTCAATAAGAAGAGGTGTTTATGTTTCAGGACCAAGCCCCCACAGAATATTTACAAAATTTGTTGCGAGGTGTTGAGACATAAATCTGAAGTTAAAAACCTACATCAAATACAAATGAAGACCTATAAAATATAGTGTAAAACAAAAAGTCAGGAAAAAAAAAGTAAATGTTTTTAAGAATTACTGAAATCTTTAAGTGTCTTCCCCATAAATAACAAATAAAATTCATTTTATCAAATGGATTTTGTTAACATCTTATATATTTTAAATTTATTAAATTGAATTGTGCTAAAAATAAAAAAGCCAAACATTCTAGAGCTGCTATAGATAGCCATCCAAAGCCCATTACACTCTTCCTTGAGCAAGCAAGAGAGACTTAAAATAGCAGCTGCTTTACATAGAAAATTATCACCAGAAGCTAAAACCCTAAATTGAAAGTTACTTTGAATTTCATTATGGTAAATTAATATTAATTTATTTTATTAAGGGAAAAATGTTTTCCAAAAATCTCATAGAAAACAACCCAGAGTAGAACATGGTTAAAAATAAAAATAACCCGATAATCTTGACTATAGTTACTTAGAAAACAGCATCACCCTCATGATTTCATAATAACACTTGTTTTATCTCATTCCACAATCTGTAAGGCATGCTAGAATTTTATTTCTCCTGGAAAGATTAAGAAAAGTGTCCTGATATACTTATATATAACTGATATTTGTCAAGCCATGCATATTTACCTTTATGTATATGTTTTATATTAACATTAAGAAATTTGTAAATAAATTTATAATGAAACAGAATAAATGTCATCTTGTATTAAGCACTGTATTCAGAAGGAAGAGGAGTCTTGGAGGCATTTGTATTCTAGGTCTCAGTCTCAAGTCATACAAAGGCAGATGTCACAGGAGTCATATAAAGGTTTCTACTCTGATACTAGCTCTGAGGACAGCCTTTGCAGGGAGACATGCTGAAAGATTATGTGTTTTAAAAATGTGTAGCCTAGCTTGAATGCTAGGAAACAAGCAGTTATATAATATCAAGTTCTTATAAAATAGTTTGTGGTGGCTGAGGAAATGTATTCTACGAAACAAACTTTTCATTGCTGCAATTAAGGTCATGCATCAGTGTAAGGTGCCAGTGCATCACACAGCTCAGATGCATAAAGCTGTTATATTTCCACACCTGTATGTTTTCTTAGACAACCTGGCATCTGGAAATGCCCTTCCTTTGCTTTTACCCAGAGTCATACTTCTCTCTCATTCTCCCACCTGCACATGGAATACCAAATGACTACTTATTCCCTTGGATTTTAGACTAGGGCCAGGGATTGTGATAGATATATCTTCACAGTGGTGGCTATTCAGTGACTTTATGTAGCTGAATTACTGTCATAAATGTAGACTATTTTTTCACTAGGTAATTTTTAGCCATGATGTTCCCTGTTTCAGCTGCCAGTGCATTACACAAGCACACAGGTCAGTACAGAGCAGAGAAGAAGTGCAAGGGTGTGAATAAAAGGCTGGAAGAATGGACAGGAAAGAATTTTCATGGCAGCAGCAGCTTCAATTTGAATCCTATTACAGGCTCACTCAATCTTCCTCAAACAGTCCTTTGCTCAAGTCTATATACCCCAGTTGTGTCTTCTACTGTCTACAGCTATTCTATAACTAGACATTTAATTGTGCCTTTCATTTCACCAGAAGGAAAGAGTTTTAACACATCTCTTAGTCTTAACACATTCTGCAGTTTGCCCACAGTTTGAAGGTTCATGTGGTATCTGTCCGTCACTGCTAGGGCAATGGGAAAGCTCTACAGTGAATAGAGAAGTTGCTTTTAATTAAAGAAATAAGCATTTCATTGCCTCAGCCAATCTGAAGGTTTTTTATCAGGAGATAACATTGAACATGCCATCCTTCTGGTTTGTAATTCAAGGCTGGAGTCACACGATGGGAACTCTGTATTCTACACACAAGGACTGAACAGGTAGGAGCAGCAAAGCCCTGGAACATCAGGTTTATTGAGTAGATAGAAGATGGTAGATCAGTCTTGTAGTGCAGATGGGTTAGGAGGGTTACAACAATTCAAGAAATAAAGAAAGCAATAGAACATCCAAAAGCTACAATTAGAGACTGGAGGTGAAAAACTGAAACTGGTCAAGGAGCTCAAACTGTGGAGCGCTACTGGCAAAAGGAAGAAGTGACGGTGTGTGAAGGCAGGAGGTAGAAGGACTGGTGTGTGGGTGAAACTGGAGCCCCTCCCCACAACCTGGGGCCAAGCAGTCAAGCTCGGCAGTGCTGGAGCCAAGGGGAGCTCCCCCTGAGAGCTCTCTGGCTCTCAGCACTTGTATATCTCCACACCTGACTCCCTTGTGCACTACAGATTGACTCTAAGACTCTTTTACGTCACTCTGGGAATGAAATACAAGTAAATCCAGATTAAGGCTTTTTCCTACAGCCAGTGTGGGATAAAGCTTTACTTTCCCCGATATGCACACACTCACGCACCACACATGCACACAGCAGCTTGAGTTACCCTCTTTTTATAGATTCAATGCCAGACTTAGACAAGTTACCCTGTTGTAAGCATATATGTCTCATTAGTCTTGATCAACACTGCATGCAACTTTTTCTGTGATTTATGATGTAATTGAATTTGGCCTACATATGTCATTAGAATCAGGTTAATTTTTTTTAACTCCATGTTTGTCCAGAGATCTTTGGTAACAGCATAAATCATTGCCAAAGCTTAATGCTAATCTCCTGAATTTTGAAAGCATAATAGGCAAAGTCAACCCCTGAATACATCTGAGACACAACCATTCAAGATATAAACATCTGCAGAAAATAACAAACTGCTATTTATACAGTCAAATAATAGCACTATTGCTGAACAGAGAACAATTAAAGAGAACAAAAAGGTGGTGAGATAAAAAATATACCTGATTAAATAGGAATTTTTGTTTTGCCAAATGCCTGGACTTTTGATAGAAACAGATAATCCCCTTCAATTATGTGGGTCAAAATTTGTGGGAATGAAGCCAGCAGAAAGTGTAGGACATGATTTTTTGCAATGGGTGGTGAAGCAGTTACTAACATGTAGTGCTGCCATAATCAAGACTTGGTTTCTATTTGCTGATGAGTAAATTCCAAACCGAGGCAGGCATGGGGAACTTGCAATGATCTCACTTGGGTGCCCCTCATTCTCCTGCCAAAACTCAGGAATACCTAAAACACAACTTATTTAGAAACAAGTTCACCTCTTAGCGCAGCTCATGATGTTCCAAATTAATGGCTGTGTCCTACTGCTAAGTATGATGTCACATCCCCTAATCATCCTTTCCCCAATTAGACACACAGTGAAATTAAAATTGCATTTAGACCAACGCACACAAAACCAGACCTATTTCCAGAATTACAATGCAAAAATTAACAGTCTAATGGCTCAGCAAAGCAAGCTTCTCACTAATTTATTTCTCCTTTTAGTTGATGAAGATACATTCTCCTGCAAGCATGCAAAAGAATATATCCAAACAGTGAAATCAAGATCCAGGAAACAGAACTGAAAACTGCCACTGGTGACAAGTAATAGTAAGCAGGTAAAAGAAGTTCAGAGAAAACAGCAAAGATCATGTTTGCAGCTAATATGACCATCACAATGATCATATTGATACACCTTTTCACTAAGGAAATAATAAAAATCTTGGTTTTCATAGTGTTTCACATGGCCTGCTGCCTAATAGGGGATAGAGATACACTGCCTAGTATGCCAGAAAACTCATCTAGGCTCAGAGCTGTGCTCCACTTGCACCATGCCAGAATTTGTAAGAAATACCCACTCACCCCCTGATGTTAACAGGAATACAAACCCCAGCCCAGTCCTCTTCCCACTCCTGTGTGTGGCACAAGATGCACTAATTTCTAAAGACCATTGATCTCAGGCTCAAGCATTGTGGCAGCAGCTGAGCAGCCCAAATCATAAATTATCCCTTTGCAGTGGCTGGCGAAATAGGGCTTGATTCTCACAACATTTACACAGCAGGCTTGCACCAGTAGAACTGCATGGATTTTTACTGAGGTATATTCAGTTCACTCCAGTGTAGGCAAGAAGCAGCTTTACTCAGTTACTTTCCAAATTAAGGGGTTGCTCTGGCAGAGTAATATCAGTAAGGGTGCATCAGCTACCTGAGAGTGCCTTGCCCACAGCAGTGCTAAACACTACCCCGTGTCATCTGCTTTGCATTCTTCACAAGTCTTCAAATCTTATTTTAGAAAGGATACAAAATATTACCATTAACAATCCATCCCATTATCTGGTCAGTCCCATTCTAACACACTCCAGTTATGATTGCCAACACATTACACCTTGTGGGGTATAAAGACAGCCCTGTTGAGGTTTACCTGGTTGGTTTAAAGGCAATCAAATGTAGAAGTTGATATACCCCTCCATCTCAGTCCTTCACTTTTCCCTCCTGGCACGAGTAGTGTTGCTGATATAATACGTTGCACAATTGGCTGTTTAAGCAATATTAGCTGAGAAGTAGTTCAAAGGACATATGTGGTGTGCCTGTGTATGCATGCATTGATACACAGATGAAATTGAAAGATGATCCTGCAGGGAGGTAAGAATGCAGACCATGTAATTTCTTCTTGAATCTGTACTCTTTCTTCTCTATGTTGAGATTTTCTTAGGTCTCCCAGTGCCTTTGTTCCTTGGCACACTTGGCCATGGTAGCCTAGAGAATACATAAATATTTAAGAGACAAGAGGGAATGGTGTGACAAAGAGTTATGTCTTCCTAAGAACTACTGGAAAATATTGTATGGTAAAAGAAAAATATGTCAAGTTCCCACGTCATCTTTCTGACCCATATTTTTCATCATATCCTTTTTTCCTGTAAGATACACCTTTTCTTGCTGTCTCTACTCTTATATTTATCTATATTTTTTCCTAAGATATTTTATCTAATCTGTGACATTTTAACTAGTACTATTGCACCTAAAGCTCAGGTGCAGTAGTGTTCTTAGGACCAGAGTCACAAGCAAGCAAACCAAAACAGGAGATAGGGTTTCCCGCTTACAAAAGAAACACCAAGCAGGGACCAGCATTCTGGTTACAGGTTTGAATAGTGTGTGGCCAACAAGGTTTGGCCTCTGACATAACCATCAGAAAAAGCTATAATAATACCCAAAAGACAATCTATCAATTAATTATTCTCTAAAAACCACTCCACTTGTCCATGACTACTCTGGAATTTGTGTACTATATGGTGCTGATCTTCAGCTAATAGGAGAAAAGAAACCCTCTTCTTTCATTATGAGAAAATTCATCTAAGTAGACGATCCTGCAGCCTGGCTTGGTTGTGTCTGCAATTACATGTAGATACTCTATGTGTACATAACTTAAAATTGCCCTTATAGAGTAGTGGTTTCTGCTATTGATATTTTGATTTTCAATATCATATTCATTTTCTCAGCCCCAGAGTTTCCAGTACAAGGCATGTGCCATTCTGAAGTGTCAGGGATGTAAGGAGGAATTTGAGCACTTCACAAAAGAGCTTTAAAATGGGTATTATTGCACATCAAGAGTGGGTCCCTTTTGGAATTTACTACATGTTCATATGCAATGTCTTAGATATTTTTTTCAAAAACTGCACTGTATAAATAAATCCTAGTAAGAATAATGGGAAATACTAGGAAAAATTGCTTTCTATCCACTGCAGGGTAAAAATCCAGCATTGTCTTAAATAGTAGATGTGCCTGTTTTCATCATTCTCTTCCAATAAATTGAATCTGTTAGAAAATTAATTTTATTTAAATATTTTACTTTAAGTATGTGGTAGAATTTAGAAATATATATGGTTTAAAAACTCTAATGGAATGTTAAGAAATGCTAAAATGGAGGAAATCTATTTAGGGCACCTCATGTTAATCTATAAACATAATTCATATGAAGTTTGGGGATCCAGAAAACAGGATTCAAGACATTGATCATCTTTCTTGCTACAGAAGCACAAATTTGTGCTAAAATTCTCTAGTGTTTTGAATTGCACGTGCACACAGTAGAGATGCTATGATCCCCTAACTGTCGCTGTCTCCTACTGGCCAGCCTCTGAAAATATCTAACATCCACCTAGCATAAAACTCTCTGTTTCAGAACAAAGAATGACCTGGATGATGCAAGCTATTTGTTTTATTAGGAACATCAGAGAGTTAATAAGAAAATAGTAACTCAAGAGCGTCTCACTTAAAAGAAGCACAACTATATCATCAACAGAAATACAAGAATGAAATGAACATAGGGCCTGAGGGTAGGACAGAATTTGCTCTTCTAAGATTATTTGGATTCCCAAATAAAAAGTTTATGAAGTTTTGTTCTAAAAATAAGTGGTGAAGATTATAGAAAATAAGAATTGTTAGGAGCTGGAGAATATTTTGGGTTTGGTTTTTTTTTTTTTCTTGTTTAAGTGACAAAGGTTCAGAGATTAATGGATGGCAAGCCAAGACTTTATAGAGGCCTCATTATATACCTTCTTCAATGGTGATATCTCCTAATTCTAACATCAGCTCGTTGTCTCAACTATGTCTAATTAAGAATCTGTTGCAGACTAGATTGTTACTATTAAAATTTGGGATGTTTTAATTTATAACAACTTTGGTGCCTGATATATAAACATGAAAGATTAATAAAATTTGATCACCTGGACAAGAAAAGCTTATAAGAAGAAAGGTATTAATGTCCATTCAAGAAACTCCCAGCTAGTCAAACAAACAAGAAAATCAAACCCAGCAGTGTAGTTTCTTAGAGATAGATATTATACTGATGTGCTACAAATAATGAAACTGCTACACAATACTCTGGTGTGTGCACTGTGTGTGAATGAGCAACAGAGAGACTTTTTGGCCTTTGTCATGTTATTCCCACAGTGTTACAAGGGTGAAACTCAGGAGCTGTTAGATGTTATCTCCCTGCAAGATGACTGTCACGTAGAAATGTGAACGTTACAAATTCACTGCTGTGAATTTTAAGCAGGGCATCAATTTTCTGTAATTCATGAGTTGGATGCTAGTCAGCCTTTGAGTCATGCTTCGGGTGGCTCCTACCGTGTGGTAAAACAGCTTGTGAAGAGTCAGGCACAAGGCTGAACCTGATAGTACTCGAGAGCCCCACGGCAGCCCCTGGCAGCGTCCCTGGCAGAGCTGCAGGCAGTGACACTCCTCTGCGGCCGGCTGAACTCCAGCTGCAGTGTTGTTTTCAGCTGGGCTGAGGCATGTTGTAATGCCTGGAGGTACAAACTGCAGGCATTTTCCCTGCACTAGAGAGCTGGACAGATGCACTTTGCTTTGAAGGCTACAGTCACAGTTAAGCTAGGATTGTAAGACATATGGTGTGTGTGGGCAGGAGATACTTGCTTGGGTGCAAGGAGTTCACAAGTGTATGTTTCTGTGTAAATTGCCTGCTATTATAATCAAGGAAAGCTTTTAAATTTGTCGACTTGACAAGCAAACTAGAGGGAAAATATCTATTAACCCAGCCAAAAGCAGAGTGCATCCTGGCGCGGCGGCCCCGGTAGCTACCCGCCCGAATAGCGAGGGGAGCCCGGCGCTGTATAGCCCTGCCCGGTTCAGCCGGCCGCTCCATCTACCAGAGTCAGAACCCATTCATGCGTTTTGCTTGGGGCTCAGAGGCGTGCGTGGGTGTGATGCCTAAAATTATGCAGACTGGGATTTTTCTTATGCACTAGTTTAAATGACTGGTACAATGGGTAGGAGGGAACAATAGGATTTTGCGGTGCGAGGTGATACGCACTAGAATAGGATTAATGAGGACAATAATTATATGGAAGAATCTTGTTTCCTAACCTCCTACATGATAAGGTGTAAAGCGTAATTGTAAATTACAATTAGCCGGAGAATAAAGGTTTCCTCGGGAGCGGGGTGGAATTTCATCGCGGTGTATTGATGAATATTAAAGCCGAGCGGTTTGATCGCCACCGCCGAGCTGCGGCTCTGCCCCTCAGGAGCCGTTCTGCGAAGGGTCTGAACCTTGGCTGCCGGGGCTGCGGAAAGGGGGCGAGCAGCGCCGGGGGCCGCGGCTGTGCGGAGCGCGCAGCGGCGCGGAGGGGCGCGGAGCGGCGCCGCTCCCGTCGCGGCGCTGGCCCGGGCTCGGGCTCGGCCGCTGGCAGGAGAGGGGCAGCGGCTAATCGGATTGGGTAGACTCCCGTAATCCCAGCCCGATCGGCGGTGGTGTCTCTCTCTCTCCAATATCACTAATGTCGCTTCTATTAGCTGCATTAGACAGATGTTCAAAAGCTCCCTCTCGCTCTCTCGCTAAATCTGATCCCCCTGTAATACTTTCACTGGTATTAAATCCACATGCACCCACTCTTATTCCCTCCCCCCACCACCCCTCCTCTCCCCACCCCCGTCATCCCTTTTACTTTCCTGAGTGGACCCTGGCTCCGTTTGATCGTCTTTTCCAGGGTAAAACGAGATCCTCTGGCGAACAGACAATGGGATTGCCCTCCCTCCCCATATGGTTGTCTCCCACTGAACCCTGTTTTCTCCACAAAAAAAAAAAAAAAAAAAAAAAAAAAAAAAAAAAAAAAAAAAAAAAAAAAAAAAAAAAAAAAAAAGTAACAAAGCCAAGCAAGCAAACACACACAGAAAGTCCAGCCAAACTAATACTGCTGGGATGTCACTGCTGTTGGATACTCAGAAGATCTAATTCCACATTCATAAAAGAGAGAATTGTGAGACTTACCTCGTCGATGCATGATTGCAATTATTGTTGGGACGCTCTAGATCTCCTTATATAAATGCATAGATGGATGACCAGACACACATTTGTTTTGATAGATCAGTTACACATTTTCGGCAGGTGCGTCTTCCCAGTTTGTTTATCCGGACTGACATGTCTTTCCTCTAACTCTTCCTTTTAAAAAGGTTAGGCAACATCCAGCCGAACTGGCTTTTAACTTTATTTTCTTGGTCTAGATCAGTGTTCCTTGACACTCTTTCCTTCTTCACTTCTACTTCCTTACTTTTGCAGTCCTTTTTCGTTGTAGTCGCCTTTCCCTCTTACAGGTCACAATCCTCTTTGTAACTGTATGTTTTATTCCACACACACCCCCTCCAGGTGTCCTTTTGTTGTTTTCCCTTACTAACCCGCAGAAATGAAACACATATGCAACTCTGTCTCCTTGCATTTTCAGATGTTTCTCTCACTATTGTCTGCTACAGCTCATTGAAAGTGCAAAGTGAAAACAGATGTATAAAAGATAAAAAATATACACATACACGCACCAAGTCCATGGAGCATAGACAAAATCTGGTAAATCCCAGCAGAGAGAA